AGTAATGAGGCACGGAGCCCCCTAATATTTCTAGCATCAAGGAAAGTGTGGTTTTATTATTCTTTTTTCAAAATGGTCTCAATTTATTTTTTTTTGTTGTTGTTTCTTATTCACAACTGGTGCAGCTGATGTTCTCGGTACCAGCACTCTACCCAGCACAGACCCTGGCCCGCCAGCTGCTCTAGTGGCTAGAAATCTGTAGTTATAGAAAGGTAGTTCCAGAGAGGTCCTTGGGAACCATTTCGCCTAAACACGCTTATTTACAAATGAGAAAACTAAAGCCGTGATGGAAAGGGATGCTTATTTATTCATTAATTCGGCAATGATTTATCGAGCAAGCGTGCAAGGCCTCAAGTTAGGTGCTGGAGAAAATCGAGGTTCTCTTTCAGAATAAAACACACACGGTTAACTCTTAACAAATAACCATTTAATGGGGGTAAACAGGCAAAGAGCTCAGGGCTGAGAATCACATGTCTTGAGTTCCAATCTGAACTACCCTTTTTTGTCTGAACTGGAATGACTTACTGGGCTTCCGCTGCTCATCTGTAATCTGGGGAAGGTGGCCTATGAATCATCCTAGGGTTTTATGAGCACCCAGATAATTAGCACACGTGCTGATGCTTGATGGCCTATAAAACAATTTGTAGATGATGCTTTTGGTGCTGGTAGAATGATCATTTGCAAGCAGGGGATTGTAGCCACTGGAGTAATAGAATGGGAAAATGAAAGAGGCTATTATGGAGGGTAGAGGGCAGATTGCATGTTGGGGGCAGAGCAGGGAAGAGCCAAAGATGTCCCCAAGCCTTTATTCTAAGGGGGTTGTCCTTTGTGCTGTTTGAAATAAATGGGAAAGGATTCCACTATTTAACCAGGCAGCAACGACTAGTCGCTAGTATCTAACCATGTGACAAGTCTGAGGAGAGAAGATACTGAGCTCAGGCATAGCCATTTGAGAGCTCAGCGTTTTGCAGGACACAGAGAATCATAAATATAAAGATAGTGTGGTGTCTTGACGGGGCTCACGACAGAAGGACCCCAGACCTACCTTGTTGGGGCTGGGTTGAAGTCCTCCCAGGAGAGACGATGACTCAGCTGGGTCCTGAGGGCTCCCGAGGGCTTGACCAGCTGGGTTATGCCCAGCAGGGAAGTCAAGGCTGAGAGAACAGCAAAGACAGAGTGATGTGGCAAGTTTAGGAAACTGGCTGTGGCTCCAGGGAGAGACCTGACATACAGGTGGGCATGGTGGGAGAAACCCTTTTGCAAATAATTGGAGTGCCAGGCAGACCCTGAGCTGGGCGAGGGGATGGTGTTTGTGGGAGCCATCTTGTGACGATAGCTTGGTGACGTCTGATTAGGATCCTTCAATTACTAAAATAATTGGCAGTGAGAAGCAGTCTTCTCCCCATTGTAGCCCATCTTGGATGTCACCATGACTTGGTGAAATGTGCAGCCAATTCTGCAGAAAAGGTTTTCAGGATGGGGATGCAGACATCGCGAGAAGGCAGATGGAGAGCACACACACACACCAGAGGGGAGCCATGCACATGAGCATCAAGGAGCAGATTAGTAGGGCCACGCTTCCACAGGAAGTTGCTCAGCTTGTGCGGTGCCCGATCCTGTAACCCAACCCTCCCATCGCAGCACCCTCTCGAGGCCCCAGGAAGGAACGGAATTCTAAGGCAGGGAGCGTTTCATCTCTAGGGAGGGATAGATGGATTTTACTCATAAAACATGTTCACCTCCTTTGGTTTGCAGAATCAGCCATATATATGTGACAGCTGGGAGAGGGACATAAGCAGTCCATTGTGGCAGCTTTGGGATGTCTCCACCTGGCTGTCACTCATGGACCTCAACCACTGTGTGTCCAAACTTGAACTTGTATTTTTCTCTATCAAATGCATTTGCCCCCCCCCCCCCNGTCTCCACCTGGCTGTCACTCATGGACCTCAACCACTGTGTGTCCAAACTTGAACTTGTATTTTTCTCTATCAAATGCATTTGCCCCCCCCCCCCATTCAGGCTAATATCACCATCCACTTGACCGAGTCAGACGCTGGGAGGTTCCCTGCCTCCTTCCCTGCCCTGAAGCCCCAGCCCCACATTTCCTCAATTCTGCCCATTCTACTTCCTGTGTATCTACGTTGCTGTAGCCCTAGTGCTAGGTCCTCAATGCCCCACACCTAACACTGCAGTCTGTTCCCTCCACCTCTGTCCAGGTTTGTTCCGGTGACTCCATTCTCCACCACTGCTAATCAGATGATGGCTATAGCACCTGACTCTGATACAAGCTTGGATGGTTCCATGGGTCTGCCGGTATTTTCTTCATTTATTTATTTAGCAACCATAGAGTACCCTCTGTGTGGCAGGCCCTGTGATGGGCAGTGGAGGGACAGGGGTGAACGAGACAGGACACTGCCATCAGTGTGCTTATAGTCTGATGGGGGAGACAGCATCATACAGGGTAGTGTTAAGTCACCAAGAGAATTCCGTGTTCTGTGCTGTGAGGCTCAGAAGGTGGAGGCAAACCCCGACCAGGGACTAGGGGAGAAATGAGAGGGCCTTTTGCCTTCTCCTTTTCCCTGCCTGGAGTTCCTTTCCTACACTGAAAAACATAGAAGGATTTTATTTGAAAAACCTATATAAAATAATGTTTGTGGTGTATTGACAATGCAGAAAACAGAGCTAAATAGAAGCTTAAGATTCCTCATTGTCTCAACCTCTATCTAGCTGCTATTAAAATTTTGTGTTTCCCCTAACAAATTTCCTTCTGCACGTTTATATTTCATAAAACTGGAGATGCCCTTGGGTATACTGTTTTGTACACAGCTCTTTTTATTAACAGATACCACAGCATTTGTAAAAACAGCTCCGTTTTTCTTTCTTGCCATAAAAGGAATACATAGCTATTTCAAACAATTATAAAAGATGAAAACTCCATGTAAAGCAAAGATCACCTACTACCCTCATACCTGGAGATACCTTCTACTATCACCTGTGTGTACGAGGTTGGATAATTAAGTTTGCGAACTCATCCTAGAAAGAGTGCTACATACCTCATTGCTGAATATCACTATGGTCGCCTTCGAAGTACTCCCCTTGGGAAGCTATGCATCAATGCCAGGGCCTAGTCCACCCTTCAAAGCAATTTTGAAACTCTTTCTGGAATGGCCATCAGAGCTGTCATCGTATTACCCTTGATGTCCTGAATGTCATCAAAATGTCTTCCTTTCCATATTTCCTTTATCTTTGGGTAAAGAAAGAAGTCATTGGGGGCCAGGTCAGGCAAGTAGGGAGGGTGTTCCAACACAGTTATTTGTTTACTGGCTAAAAACTCCCTCATGGACAGTGCCCTGTGAGCTGGTACATTGTCGTGATGCAAGAGCCATGAATTGTTGCCAAAAAGTTCAGGTCATTTTCATCTAACTTTTTCACGCAACCTTTTCAGCACTTCCAAATAGTAAACTTGGTTAACTGTCTGTCCAGTTGCTACAAATTCATAATGAATAATCCCTCTGATATCAAAAAGGGTTAGCAACATCATTGCAACGAGTTCGTGGACTTAATTGTCAGACTTAATTGTATGTTTCAGAATTTTACGTTCAGATGAACAGTTAGATTTAAATATAAATATACCGGGGGTGCTAAAAAATGTAAACAAGTGGACACTTTCATCAGCGTTGCTCAAGCAGTAGTTCTCTGTAATCAGAAGTGTCTGGACGCTGATGGTAAGCACTTTCAGCACCTCTTGTAATTGCGGAAGTCAAACGTGACTTGTATTCATCTTTTGTTATCGTTATATATTGAGTATTACGATTGTAGTACAACTTTCCTTTCTTAAAATGTGTACTACATTTTTTTGGCACCCTCAGTAGATATAGATGTAGGTGGGCTTGATATTGAACCTGATTTTCTATTTAATACATTATAGCTCTCTTCTTATTTAAATATATTTTGATCACTTGTGTCTTTTTTTAGACATCTATAGAATATGACTGTATGATACAACATCTATATGACTAAATTAATCAAAAGGGAGGTTATCTTGAGGGATATTCCATGTAAATATATCATAAATTATATAACTAATATCATATTTATTAACATTTAGGTTTCTTCTGCATTTTCAGGTCACAGAGCAGAATGAAAAGGCTTTTATGAGCATATATGTGCTCTTGTCCATTTATTTCCTTAGCATAAAGTTTTAGAAGTGAAATTGCTATGACAAAAATTGTGAACATTTTATGTTTGGGTCTATATATGTGCTTGGCAGAATATCAGATGACCTTTGTTGATGACCTGTCTTTGCATAATTAACTCCCCTTGAGATGTGGGCGGGGCCTGTGATTGCTTCCAACCAATAGAGTGTGGCAAAAGTAATGGAATGTCACTCCTGTGATTATGTTACTTTCTGTGGCAAAAGTGAGGGGGTTTTGTAGATTATAATTAAGATCTCTAATCAGTGGACTTTAAATTAATCAAAAGGCAGACTACTGTGAGTGAGCCTGACCCAGTCAGATGAGCTCTTTAAGAGAAAGTCTAGAAATCAGAGACTATCTGGCCTTGAAGAAGCAAGCCACCATGAGTCTACGGCTGCAATAAAATGAATTCTGCCCATAATCCCATGAGTTTGGGAGAGGCCCCCAAGCCTCAGATGAGATCCCAGCCCTGGATGACACCTTATTGCAGCCTTGGGAGACCCTGAGTAGAGAACTCAGCTCAGCCCTGCCTGGATTGCTGACCCACTAAAACTCTGAGATAATAAATGGGTGCTGTTTAGCTGATACGTTTTTGATTTATTATAGAGCAATAAACAGCTAATACAATATAGGAAAACTGCCTCTGATAAATCATACACAAATATACACTCCCAACCAGTATGAAAGCCCCCATTTCCACTGGGTGTTGGCCAACCTTTTATTTTTATTTGTATTTGCACTATGTAATTATTTTTAATGTCGAGTTTATCATACAAGGGCCAGAGCTTTCTCCCAGGCTCAAGTTTATAAATTCTCAGTTGGTTTGTGAGGCCAGGAGGGATACGTTTTCTTGTCTAATTTGGTTTCTGGGAATACATCATTCAAGTCCCCAGTGGTCATCTGATCAAATGGAATTATGTTCTTCATCTTCTCCAGCTCTTTCTTGTACTGCTCAATCCTGGTTTTCGGCAGAGACAGAAACTCAGCACAACTTTTCACATTTTCTTTTTCTTTTGCATCTACCAGCCTACTGTATTTATCCTCCAGCACAGGAGCCTTCAGTGAACCAAACCGGCCTTCGCAACATTGGTCTTGTAGTAAGCCCAGTCGATAGCAGGTGGATTCTCAAGTACAGTGGCCAACTTGGAGGTGAGGGTCTCATTCCAGGATTTCAGGGAATTAGCAATGACCTTCTGGTTTTGGGGCATGATCTCCCCAAAAGCCACCCAGTCAATGGCTATTAGAGCAAGTTTTTGCCTAGCCATCTTGAGATCTGTCATCGATCCTGGCAGCCAAAGTTACCAGCAGCCTGACCAACCTTTTAAATCTTTGCCAATCTAAGAGGTGAAGAAACACTTAATTTGTGGCCTTCACTTACAAGTAAGATTGCACATTTTTCATATTTTTGTTTCCTCTTAAAACTCATTTTTAGTATATCTTTTTTTTAGTTATATGATTTAGTAATCATATCCTTTGCCTATTTTTGAATTTTTCTTATTGGTTTGTAAGAGCTCTTTGTATATGTGGAGGCCACGAAAGAGATAGAAACATAGATATTGTTTTATCTGTGACAGATGTTGCGAGTACATTTTTTTTTTTTCCTCCAGCTTGGCAATTTTGTTTTTCATTTCAAATGTTGTTTATGGTATTTGGTGAGGATGGATATGGGCATTTTCTCATTCTGTTGAGTTTTGCAATGGCCACCTTGGTAGTTGGTGTGGAAGATAGATTGACCGAAAGAGAGCAGTGCAGAGGCAGTTGCATTAGTCCAGGTGAGCTAATGGAGATGAAACCTGACCCACATTAGGGATGAAAAAAAAAGGTCTGAGCCCAGAGGCGTATTAGAAATAGAATTGGCAAAGCTTCGTGTTCTTGAACTGGCTTTTTACCAGATGAGAAATGGAGACTTAAGAGGTGAAGCATGTGGTGAGTCGTCCTGCCTGCACCAGTAGGTACTGAGATCACAGAGGAAGTTTCTCCCACATGGAACTGTACCACCGGAGGGCCTGGGACTAGCAAACCCCAGAGAACAGGCAGCGCCTATTTCCTGTGATCCCAGTCCTGCCTTTATCTCCAGTGGGTGGATGCACACATCGTTCCTGGACGTTCTCCTTCCCTCCCAAAGAGACAGAGGTTCCCTCCTTGTGTGTGTTTTTTAATCCCCCTCCACCAGACAGACCTCTGGTTTTGAAGCTGAGCAGACGGGCAGGGGTGTTTGCTCAAACACGGCTGCATCTGGACATGCCTGGCACAGGATAAATTTCCCCTTCAATACCCTGGGCAGCCTCGTCGCCGGGCAGCGGTGGGGGTGAGCAGGGAGAGAAGTGTTCAGCAAACTCCAGTGAGACGTTAGATATCAGCTGGAAGTTGTTGGCATGAGCAGGGAAGGTAGCCTGTTCTGTCCCTAGACTCGAGTAGATTCCTCAAACCATCGGAAATGAAGAGATGCTGGCCACACTCTGTAGTGGCAGAAATGAAGATGTGTCCTGTAGAGGGTGGGCACATGCTTGGGGTCTCCTACTGGTGCGAGTAGCGGGGAGACACCAGAGTGACACAGCTGAGGTCCTGAAAGCCTCCCAGCACTGCTGAGCTCCGGTATGCGGTATTCAAAACCTCGCTTGGTCCCTTGTTTTGTTTAGGGCAGTTTCTCAATGGGAAGGCGGGGGGGCTATTTTGCTTCTGTTCAGTGGACATTTAACAACATCTGGAGACATTTTTGGTTGTCACAACTGGAAGGGTGCTTCTGGCATCTATTGGGGAGACGCCAGGGATGCTCCCAAGCCATACCTCCTACAGTGCATGGGGCAGTTCCCACAACAATGACCTGTCCCCAAATATCAATAGGGCTGAGGTTGGGAAACCCTGGTTGAGTAAGAACGAGAGGATTGTTGTGGATTAATGATTGTCCAAGTTAGAGATGTGTCTGTGTATGACTGACCGCCCGAATCCTTAACTCTTTTGCTGGGGTCTCTGCTGGGAACTGCTGGGCCTCTTTAATGCTGAGGGTGGCAGTGCGGACTCAGCACCCTAAACTCACCCCCAGAGTTCTGGCCAAAAGAGCATGGCTCGTCCTAAAGCTGGAGAGGAGAGAACAAAAAGCCAATCCATCTGTGAAGTCCAGCAGGATCTTTCCTCTCCGGCCCCAAGTTTGACCTTTGTAAACATTCACTACCATTTGGCAAGGTCCCACGTCTTGTACCAACGCACAGAAGGACTGCCCTCAGCTTTGATCCTGGTGACCCATTCACTTAGCCCAGAGTGAAGCACGGTGTCTACCAGCTGCAGTTAGCCACGGCAGGAGGGAGGAGAGAGGAAGGTGGATTTTTGAAATTCTGAGAGTGGTTAAATATTTGATGTGGCTTAGCATGAACCGGACATTCTATAGGTGACAGTCAGAATGGATTATTTGGATTCTCAGCTCCTGGGACAGTGGCCTTCTAAAGCAGTCCAGAGAAAAGGCAAAACGGAAATAAATTAGCAGTAAATGCTATCTACATCTCTCAAGCATAATCTGAATTTTCTATAGGGACATAAAGGCATATGTATACTACACAGCACGTCCTTGAATAACGTCATTTCATTCAACTTTGTTTCATTATAAGGTTGATGAGAGGGAAAAATAAACGTCAGTTCCTGGCCAGGTCCACTGTCTGTGTGGAGCTGGCATGTCCCCCATATGTGCATGGGTTTCCCTGAAGACTCCGGTTTCCTCTCACACCCAAGAGAGGTGCCTGTGAGGTTAATTGGTGTGTCTGCATTGCCCCGTCTGAGTGAGTGTGGGTGTGTGTGATGCACCCTGCGATGGAAGGGCGTCCTGCGTAGAGTGGGTTCCTGTCTTGCACCCTGAGTTTCTGGGACAGGCTCTGGCCACCGTGACCCTGAACTGGATAAGTGGGTTGAAAAATCATTATCTTGCTTGTTTTGATTCGTCTTTCTTAAATGTGCGTATAGCTTACATGGATTTCAAAGTTTAATATTAGAAGTGTTTGGGGGTTTTATTTAGAAGTTTGGTGATGTTTTGGTAACCAGAAATGCGCCTTAGGAGCTTAACTCTTGTTTCTATCATTTAGCCTAGAGTAAAATTGGTTTCCCTATACGCCATTCCATCTTTTCTCTCGAAGTCACAGGTTCCCAGAACCTATCAACGATGTTTAGTGAGGACTTACTGTATACAGATGTTAAGAGTTTTTTTAAAGATCGACTCCAGATGGAGCAAGATTTCCCTTTATTTTTTCTTAATGTCTGTTGATATTGGCAGCATTCATTCTGTCCCGAGAGATGGAGAACAGACATTACAAAGAATAAACATTGGCCCTAAATTGTCACTCAGAAAGGATATCAATGCCTGTGTTCTGTTTCCACGAACCAATTTTAAGAAAGAAACGTTTTTTTAGTGTGTCTCGAATGTGACTCAAGAATGGTTTCGGTGGGACATGGATTTGGACTGACAGCAGCAAATGGAATTTGCATGGAGGCAGCGTTGTCTCCAGCCACCAATCTCGAGACAGTTCTCATCCTTGTCTTTCTTAAACTCGCTTGGCAGGAGCTGCCGCTTGTCTCTCTGTACCCGCCCCTTAACATCCGGTCTCCTGATACTCCTGCTTTGGCTGTTCTGACTGCTTCTCTGATGGCTTGTTCCCTGGGACCCCTCCCCCCTCCCATTCAACTCCTTTCTCTGTTACAGCAATCTCATTAATACCCAAGGCCCCAACCAACTGACTCCTCAGATAACTCCTAAATCCATGCCTCTAAGCCTCAATCTCTTTCCTGAGCCATAGAGCTCCCGGTCAATGAGATAAAAACACATTTATGAGGCTAAACTCATTCCCTCCCACTCTCTTCTATACTTCTGGCAAAGGAGCCATTCCTCATACATCAGTGTGAAAAATGCAGAGTGGTGCGTGACTTATCTTACCCCTCCTTGGTCAGGAAACTATCTCAGGGTAGTTTACAAAGCGACCCTTCATTGTACTGCCAAGGAGGCTACTGGGTCCTTCTTGCAATCCATGCTGCCACTATGAATAGCAGAGTGGCCATCTGTTGTCATTTTTACATTAAAGTGAGTAGAAGCAGCAAACTGGCCTCTCCTCTAGAGAGCTTAAGTTTGTCGGTAAGCATGGAAATAGCCCCTTCCTCCAAATGTCATTTTCACAGATTAGATAAGCTCTCCAGCTCTGCCTAAATGGCAATAAGTCAGCTATGTGACATCACAGGTGTGTGACCCAGGGCATGGCACAGCATCTAGTACAGCTATGAAGAAGATAAAAGAGAAGATGAGCTAATGTGTGAGACAGTAACCGGAGCATGGACAGGGCAGGGTTCTGTGGAGACATGACATAGGAGATGGTGTCTGAAGTGTAAGCATAACCTCCCTTCCCGATAATCAGAGGACAGTTGCAACCTGGAGGCTGTCAGAGGCGGTAGGTGAGGAAGGTATACAGGGGGTTTCATCCTCCGATAGGGGTCAAGTAGGCAACTTTTTAGGAGCTTGCTTTTCTGAGGATGCTGACATCTCATGATCATTACTGTACTTTCTCTGAGGCCCGGGTTGGGCCACGATTCATGAACTAGAAGCTGCATTTCACTTTCTGCCTTTGCCTCTCCCTATTATATAGTTGAGGACTCTACAGCTCTTTGGTTTGATCCATTAATGACCTAATCGACCCTGTAGTCTTCCGATGAAGTTTTTTTCACATGGAGGAAATTCACCAACCATTTCACAACACTGGAAATGGAGGAAACATTTGGGGTATTCCTCAATGTCATTTGTCTTTCCAAAGGTTTGGAAAATGCCTAGAAGCTGCCTTTCAAATCCTGGATTTAAAGTGGCAGTAGGTAAAGGCATGGTTAGGCCAAGTCTTCAGAGGCCTTCCTGATGGAAACCAGGGAGCTGATGCTGACTGGCAGGTGCCCCAAAGGCGAGGTCTGTCAGGTCTGCACAGAAGGCAAACTCCAGGGAGATGGACAGGACCTTCAGAGCGGGTCGCTTCCTGTATGCTAAGCATGACTCACCTCCTCATCTTTTTCTCCACCTTGTTCCGAAAATGCCTGATCTATTTAATGCCTTGCTGGCTTAAGGGGGGAGTGAGACATGAAATCCCAGCTTTAATGGCTCTGTGTCTCTCAGCCTGAAGCCACAGGAGTGTGGCCTGTGACCAGACAACTTGGGGAGCAGCACAATGTGCCTCAGTGTGCACTTGGATCGTGTCCCTGTTGTGTCTTCAGTAACATGTCCTTGTTATTTATGCAATGTGGCTTAAAGGCA